GCGCGTTCGGTCCCCCGCCCGAGCCCCGCCTGCTGGCGCGGGGCCCTGGGCCGGGTGGGGGCTCGGCGGTCAGATGGCCCGCTGCCCACTAGCAGGCGCAGATGAAAACGGAAAGGTTTACAAACAGGGCGTATTAGCCAGCATGGAAGTTAAACCTGCTCTCAGCCAGATGCGGGATAGTGGGGAGGCTCGTGGTGACGTCACTGGTGATACCAAGCGACGCCGCTAGGGCGCGCTCCGTTTCTCGGTTCTGCCTCTTTTACGCGCTCGCCTCGCTTCCTCTTCCCGTGGGCTCAGCATCCCCCGTGGGCAGCGGGATGCAGTGCGAGGCCGCCTTCGCGCCAGGTGCGCGGCCGCCTTCGCGCCAGGTGCGCATCCTTTCAACGTGGAAACCACATCCAGGGAAATCCCGCTCAGCCCCAAGGGGGCCTCTGATTGGTCCAGTGTGGGTCACGTGCTCATTCTGGACCAATCGCTGGCCAGGGGCTGGGATAAGCCACCCCCGGGGGCCAGGGAGGCAGAAAGAACCACATGAAACAGGAGTGGGCACGACGGATGGACAGACGGAGCGCTGGGCAGACAGACCGACCGACCGAGCCGCAACTGTCCTTTCCTGGCGCTGGGAAAGAGCTGGTATAAATCAGATTTGGAGACTGAAAAGGCAGTGATGGAGTCTAACCAGGGCGGGGGGCTCAAAGGTGCTCTTCTAGAGGAAGTGACGCTCACCCCCGGGCCTTGCAGGATGAGTAGGAGTTTGGGAGATACTGGCACGAGCAAGCGTGAAGTAATCCGAGGAAGCGGAAGCTCCTAGGTGTGTCTGGAGTGTTGAGTGAGGGAGGGTGTTGGTCAGAGAGAAGGAAAGGGCCCAAGCGAAGGAGTCTGGGCCTGGGGCTGCAGGGACAGGGGAGGCTGCGATGGGGAGGCTGGTTAGAAGCTGGTGCAGTTGTCCCAGCAAGAAATGCCCAGGGAGTCACACAGATCCCTGCACTCAGAAACTTTGAGATTCTGCTGTTACCACCTGGAAATTATTCATTTTTGAACAAGGGGATCTGAATTTTTATTTTGACCCGGATCCTGCAAATTAATCCCACTGGGGAGGCTCTAAGAGTCCTCCCCTACCTCTTCCATGGTCACCTCCGTGTCACTGATGTGTCTGTCTGCTCTGGTGATGGTGACAAAGGTAGCAACTTGTACAGGTGTCACCCAAGTGGGGACTCCCAGAGCAAACATCAGCCAGTGAGTAATTCTAAACGTTTGTTCACACAGATACAGGGAACCAAGAGGCTGTTTCCGCGGAGTGTGACAGGGAGCTGGGTCAGAGTTGACAGATTGTGCCATAATTATGTTGTCTTTGTTGGTTAGAGTCCAAAGTCAGACTGATAACGCATCTTGAAAGAACAATGACAGAAATCAAGTGCTGTTATCACCGCCGTAGCCCTCATTAGGTTCCGTGGGAATCAGCATTTCCCTGGGCCTGGTAAGCGAGCAGATGACCCCTCCCTCCCTGCGCGTCCTCGGTCAGCTTGGCCAAGGCCGCCCTGAGCTTTCCCGGGGTTGCCGCAGCAAGTCAGGGTTTGGACTCCAGCAGTTACCTGTCAGGTGGCAAGGCTCAGACCACAGCGGCCTGGAGCTGACCTGGGTGCTGTTTCTCTAGGAAAGGGGATGGGTTTCAGGGTGCCACCCACCCCCCCCAGTCATTTCTGTTCATTGTGGTCTGGGTTGTTTATTACCATTGCTGGAAGGGTAACAATACTTTTTTGTTTTGTTTGTGTGGTTTTTTTATTGTTGTTAAAAGTATTACCAACGTCCCCTTTCGCCTCTTTGACCCCCTCCTTAGACCTGGTTCGTGTTTTTTAATTTGTATAAAGCCTCCACGTACATTGCCTTAGTTAATCCTATGACGAACTTGCGAGATGGGAGTTACTATCTCCATTTTCGATGAGGAAACAGGCTGAGAAAAATGGTTCCCGCCCTTGTCCATCTGGGCCGGCTCCATCCAGCTTTCTGCCACCCTACAGCTCCGTCCCAGACCGTGTGACTCGGTCATAGTTGAGATGTTTCCTCACTTGATTCTAATTTAGAAGAAGTCACATGCATCTCTTCAGGACTTCACGTTTGGCACCTGATGCTCTCAGAATGCCAACCGAGTGGCAGGTGGGAGTGACAGTCCTTAAGGGACTGGAGGTGCAGTTGCTGCAAAGAGATGCACGAGGGCGCCCCCTGCTGGCCTTGCTGGATCAGAATGGCACCCTTGTGTCTGCGGGGACCAGCACCCCTAAACTGATTAATGCGGCTTTCAGAGGACGCCGGCCAAGCCCTGAACCGGGTCTCCTTTGGGCATGGATTGTCTCCATCATTACTCCCCAGCATGTGCCCTGGGGAAGCTCAGATGAGCTGCACGGGCTTGTGGCACAGTGGTGAACTTGGCAGGTTGGCCTCCAGATCCCCGGCCTCCTTGTTCTGAAGTCCTTTGGTGATTTGAAAACTTGGGATTTTAAAGTTAGTGCCAGTGTTGAAGCTGTGCGGGAAGTGGGGGTGGTAAAGACCTCTGGACCCCGAGTCTGGAGACCTGGGACCGGTTTCCCCACCTGTGAGATGAAGGCCCAGGCTGGATTCAGGTACACATTCGGTAGATATTTATTCCCACCCACGGCACAACAGGCTCTGGTCTGGGTGGGATCTGGCAGGAAATGGGGTCACCACCTTGCAGAGGTTACATCCTACAGGGCCGCTGGGCTGTTGCTAAACCTCTTGCAACTCTTTCCGTGGTCCCTCAGGCGACATCTCCCAGTGTCCTTGGCCCTCCCCTCAGCTGACTGCTCTCATCACTCCCAGTCCCGGTGGATGAAAGCCCCACCCCGAGCCTTGTCTCACCTGATAGACACATGGCCCAGGTGTGCCGGGAGGACCGGCTGAGGAGCCACCGTTCTCACCCTCAGGGCGTCCTTTGCCCTGTTCCTTTCATCAGCAGGCCCTAGGTGAGCCCCACCCAGGCAGCCTCTGTGCTGCTCTCAGGCCTGCTCTCCACCCTCCTGTCCCTTGTCCCTGCAGGACTGCAGGATCCTCCTGTCTGTGGAGCCCACGGACCAAGGCTGCTACCCGCTGAACGACCGTCTGTTCTGCAAGCCGTGCCACGTGAAGCGGAGTGCTGCGGGGTGCTGCTGAGGGCCCCCGCCGGGCTGGGTCCCTCCCCGACTCGGTTTCCCTTTCTGACCCGCTCTCGCACACTTCCCTTCCGAGCCACAACGGGGACCAGCCCATGACATCCGGGCCACAGGGGCTGAGCCACCCGGCCCCCACCTCCTCCCAGCTCAGCGGTGGGCAGCTGGCAGTCAGTGCCCCTCAGACATTTGCCTCTTTCCTCCATCCTCTGGGCACTGGACGTCTCCACACCGTGAGCATCACACCCAGGTGCCCGTGTCCCAGGCTCTGGCCCCTCTTGCGCACTGGCCTTGATCCCCAATTCCAGGGGTGCATTGGGGCGAGTCTCTAGGTGGCGCCCTGGTTCCCCAGCAACGACACTTCAGCTGTCCCGTGAGGGTGCTGAGATCAGCTCTGGCTTGTAGGACTGAGCTGTTTGAGTAAAACTCCAAGGCCCCTTAAAAAGCTCTTTTTAAAAAACTTACATGAGGAGAAACATTCAATTTTGGGGGCAGGATGTGTCTTCATAGGAAATGCCTCCCATTTGTTCATACATGTACAAGAATGTGACCTGGTGCTGGCACGGCCACGGACTTCTCACCAGGGGAACACGGGGCCCAGGCCCAGCTGTGAACCTGGGACAGGGCAGGGGGAAAGGGTGAGATGCTGACACCCAAGGGCATCGGCCGCCCCTCCGCCCTGCCCCTGGTGCTCCTGTGTGCGAGCCAGCTGACATTGACCGGGGAACAGGGTGCAGGTGCCCTGGGTGCTCCTCCTGCAGCCTCGACTGGGGCCAAGCGCACCCCCCCTCACCCACACTCCTTCAGGACAGTGCCAGAGGTGTCCCTTCAGCCCCTTGGTCACTGCCCACATCCCACCCGGACACCCCCGCCCATGCTGCCCTGTGGCCGCTGCCTCTTCAGGGCCACGCCTAGAAGATTCTTTTTCCTTTTTAAGGAAAATCACGTGTATTGCTTCGTAACTTCTAAGGCATTTTTCTGCAGGGCATGAACAAATTAAGTTGTGCTTTCCTCCCGGGGTCTCGCTGATGCACCACAGGCTCCTGTGAGGGTGCCTCGGGCTCCGATCCGGAGACCTTGTCTGTAGAGCCCCTTAGGGGCTTCGGCGCAGGGCACAGCTTCCTGCCAGCAGCTTAGAGGCTCGAGCCCCAAGCTCCAGGCCTCCGCCTGTCACCTCCACAATCGTCATAATCAAGGGCTTCACGTTCTCTCCTTTCCTTAATATTTTCTTTAAATCAACATACTTTTTTTTACTCCCGACTTTAGTCTTGTGCTAAATAATGTATCCATACAGTCACACGCTGATGTGCTAGTTATATTTTCTCCTATTACACAGGAAAATAAATGCACGACTATTAGAAGTCCCTCTGTGTTGCATCTAAGACTTCACCTAGCTAGACACGAGCCTTCGGTAGTAGCCCTGGAAAAATGTTCGCTGGGCGTCCGCTCGCGGTGGCACGAATGTCTGCAAAGTGTACCCCCCTCCCCGCAAAGTGGGGCTCAGTTCAGCAGATCAGGGGACTCATGCCCATCAATGGAGACTTGCAGCAGCCACCTCCCAGCGTGCTGCTCCTGGACATGGGCCGCCGGGAAAGGGGTTGGCTGGCTGCGAGGTGTCCAGAGTGGAGTCTTTGCTGTGGGAAGCCATCGAAGGCCACCAAATCTTTTAGCCGAGTCAACACCCACCCTCAGGTTGTGCACGGACAGAACCACCCTCACCCACCCACACCGGGGCTTGCTCGGTGGGTACAGCTCCAGAGAGGAGGGTGCATGGCAGGAAAGAGCACTGGACTTGGGGGGCAGGCAACTCAGGTCTCAGACCTGGCACTGCCACTCAGTAATGTGAACTAGCTATTAATCCTCTGAGCCTTGATTTTTCTCATCTGTAAGATGGGCACAACTTTAATATCTACCATATAAGGTTGCTGTGCTGGACAGAGAGGCGGGCTTTGGGGTGGAACGGGGACTTGTTTAATGAGCACAGAGTTGTTCCAGTTTGCAAAATATAAAGTTTGGAGATGAACGGGGAAATGGTTGCACAATAGTGTGAATCTACTTAATGCCATTTTAAAATGGTTACGATGGTACATTTTGTTATGTCTATTTTACCACAATTAAATACAGAGATACAGGTTTAATGCTCAGAGGCAGAGAGGGGCTGATAAGGGTGTACGCGTCCTGAGGGGGCACGGGTCCCCCCATTGCCTTGTGCAAACCCAGCAAGGCGCTGCTGGCTGGCCTGAGCTCCGGGGCACAGCCAGTAGAGGGCAGCATGGGCTCGTGAACGGGGCCTGGGGCCCGGGGCAGCCGTGTTCTCAGGCCTCCCCTGGGCCCTCGGCTTCCCCAGATGCGGACGGGAGTCCTTCCTCCCGCCTCCTGTGCCCGGTGCGTGAGGATGAGAGAAAGCAAGCTGGAAAACAGGCCTTGCTGCCACTAGAACGCACCTTCGCGGAGGGAGATCCGCGTCAGGAGACAGTTCCTCACCCGCCCGCACATCTTACCTGCTGGGGGCGCCCAACCTGGGAGCTCCCATGCTGCCTGCAAGCCGGTGCCTGGGAACCTGGGCTGGGTAAGCACAGACTCAGGACAAGGCCTGTGGGGCTGCTGGGTGCCCAGAGCTTTTCTGCTTGTCACCCCTCCCCAGGGCCCCCTTACCTGAGACCACACCCAGGTGATCGAAGGTGTGAACTCTGCCCAGAATGTGACAGCCCCTCCAGGGCAAGTGAATGCCGCTCCCTACACTGCTAGGAACACAAATGGTGGAAAGGAGGAAGAATTTAATGGAGAGGAGACGGAGGCAGGTGAGGGAGTGAGGAGAAGGCTGGGCCGAGAGGAAAGCATCCCAGAGACCACAGGACATTGTCAAAGAAATGGTTTTACCAATTTAAAATACACCTCTCAGGCCTGGCCGGGCGTGGCTCGGCGGTTAAGCATCGACCTGGGATCCAGGAGATCAGGGTTTGATTCCTAGTCAGGGCACATGCCCGGGTTGTGGGCTGCAGCCAATCAATGACTCTCATCATTGATGTTTCTATCTCTCTCTCTCCCTCTCTTTTCCTCTCTCTGAAATCAATAAAGATATATTTAAAAAAACAATAAAAATAAAATACACCTCTCATAAAGTGAATAGCTCTCATAGGAAATCATCTTAGCCCAGCTGGCGTGGCTCAGTGGCTGAGCGTCCAGCTATGAACCAGGAGGTCACCGGTTCGATTCCCGGTCAGGGCACATGCCCAGGTTGAGGGCTCGATCCCCAGTAGGGGGCGTGCAGGAAGCAGCCAACCAAGGACTCTCATCATTGTTTCTATCTCTCCCTCTCCCTTCCTATCTCTGAAATCAATAAAAACATTTTAAAAAATCATAATCTATGCTGTAGGTATTATCAATATCCCAATTCAGAGGCAAGGACACTGCACCTCAGAGAGATGCTGTAACTGCCCAGGGCTGCACTCAGGCTCAGGCTCCAACCAGGTCCAGTGAAAACTGCAGGCCTCTGCTACTGACCCAGGTCACAGACACACTCATTCTGGAATGTCCCACATGCCAGCGTCCAGCTTAAAAAGAATCTTATCTGCTTTTAAGGCCTCTTTCTGGCCCGGGAGCCGTGACTTCCCCAGTTCCTTCTGAGTGTGAGTCATACTCTTCTCGGAATGACTGTCAGGTTAGAGACCACGGAGTGCACCCTCTTCGCGACCTACCTCCTGCAGAAAAAACGTGCGCTTCAGTGGAAAGCGACGCACCCCCACTGACCGCACGCCTTCCTGGGCGTTGGAATCCAGCCTTGCGTTGTCCTCGAGCTACTTTTCATGTGGAAACCGCAGGCCCCTGATCAATCCGGTCCGGTCGGGGAGAGGGTGGCCTCAGCCCCTTGCGGGTTTGCGCACGAAGCGCAATAGTCCTGACCTGTCCACGTGAAGGCTCTTCAGCTGCCCTTTTGAGCTCGTGGGCTATAATATATCCACCCGGTGCCCTTAGGGGTTAAAGAAAATGTTTAGCAAGGGTTGATTTTATATCTGTACGGGATCATGATTTTACCTCTTTTTGGACATTTTAATGCTACCTTCATCGGGAGTGTATGGGTGGCTCCTTTAGGCCAGGAGAGGTGACGTTTAGGGAGCTGGGAGCAGCAGGCACGTAGCAGCTGCCCCCCCCTCCCAGCTCCTAGAACAGTCTCCAAACGAGGGGGAGGGTGGCTCTGCTCAGGTGGATGGGACAAGGTATTAGCAAGACCTGGGCGCTCCCTCTGGTTGAGCCTCTAACCAGCTGCATGACCTTCAGACAACCTTTAGGCCTGAGGGTGAGGAAGGACAGTAGCGACTGACTGATTTCCTGCGTTTTTGTGTGGGGAGAGGCTAGAGAGGTCGGATGATGGACGGATTACCCTGAGGAAGCAGGTTTCAGCAGGGCTAGATCGCCAGCCTGGACAGGTAACCACACCCCATACAGCCTGCTTGGGGGCCACAGGAGGGCCCCACGAACAGCTGCTGGGGGGCTGGCCCTGGGCTTCTCCGAGCTTGTCCCATGTATCTTCCCAACAGCTCTGCGTGGAAGGCTTTGACCATCCCCATCTTACAGGTGAGGAAACCGAGGCTCGGAGACGCTGTGACTTACCCAAGGACACACATACCTAGCGTAGGACTACACACTAGGATTTCTAACTCCCAGTGTTTAGGGTCTGGTCAAAGCAAGGTCTGTACCGGACAAGAGGAGGCCACCATATATACTTTCTGCAAACGGGGACACGCAGGGCTGGGAGGAGAGAAAATGTTTAGAAAAGGGGGAGGGGTCCACTGATAGAGGAGAGGGCAGAGAAGGGGAGATGGGGGACCCAAGCTAGTTTCTGTGGATTCAACTGTTCCCAGAACTGGAGGAATCCCCGGGTGGCCCGAGATGGCCAAGGTCAGGCTGCCAGCTTTGGGGCTGGTGTTCCCTGAACCTGGGGGCCTCCTGAGCCTGGGTATGGTGGACTGGGGCAGGGTGGGGGACGTGCTGGGACTCTACCCTAGCAACCCCGAGGAAAATGCCAAATTAGGAGGTGGGTGGCGAAGGGTCTCAGAAAACCAGGGTGACTTTTAGCCAGTGCAGGTGGCAACTTCTCTTCCTCAGGAAAACATAGTACAGCCCAGGAATCAGGAGCTGGGCCCTTTAACCAGTGGCGTCTTCAAGCCCATTGGGAGAGACTGGCCCAGCTGGAGAGAAACCTGAGCGGTATTAGCCTGAAGGCCTGATCAGCTGGCGGAGCAGCAAAGGCCAGGGCGGGTTAGGAAAGCTGTTTGGGGCCTGTGAGTCACGGGCCAGGCAGCTGGGGGCTGGGGCGTGGCGGGGGCCCAGCTGGAACCGCCCTCAAAAGTCGACTCTCGTCCCACCAGCACCGCCTCCTTGGCAGGACGGGCCTCAGGGGTGGTCTGGCACCTGGGCCCAGGTGAGGGAAGCAAATGATGGCTCCAGCTTGCCTGGGGGCTTCTACCTCATTCATTCGTTCGTTCATTCATTCATTCATTCGTTCATTCATCATGTATTTATTGACCCCTTTTGTGTGCCGGTCACTGCCCTTGGCACGGAGCTTTGTTGAATGGGGAAGAGCAAAGAGAACGGCTCCTGCTGGGGGACACCCATGGCTGGCAGGTCACCAGAGGAAGGCGGTAGGGAAAGTAACGTCCAAGCTGGGGCCCAAATGAGGACAGGACGCAGCCAGCCGGGGAGCCGTGGGGCGGGCGCTCCAGGCCCGTGCGCTCTGGGCTGGGCCCAGCTGAACGTGCTGGGGTGTGGGAATCGCCGGGACGGGGTCCAGGTGTGGCAGCTGCAAACCACCAAGGGCGCGAGGCTGCGGGACCGTTTCCCGGAGGGCGGTGTGAGACGGAGGAGCCCCAAGCCCCGGCAGGACTTCGGAGCCGGGGAACAGGTAGGACGTGGGGTCTGACTGCACGTTCTTGCAGAAGGGGAGACTGGAGCCCGGAGAGGGCGTGAAACCTGCCGGGCTCACACAGCTGGTTAGTGACCGTGCCCCAGATGCCCTGCCTTCCCCACCAGGAGCTTTCCCACGCTCTCTAGTATAGACTCAGGCACCTGCAAGCACCCCGGCACCGGGTGGAGGAGTGGAGGGCGCAGGCAGTCGGGTGAATCAGGTCAGTGTTATGAATAGGTTGACCCGGGTCAGGCCGGAGGATCCTGCCTGGTGGGGAGGCCGGCGGGCGGGCTTCCTGCAGGGGTGAGAGGTGACTTGGCCCAGATGGAAGGAGTGAGTCACTGGGGAGCCAGGCTCACACTTCCTGCCTCCGCTGGGCTTTGATCTCAGCTCCCCGGAGGGAGGTGCCGCCTGGATTCCTGGGGGCGGCCAACCTCCTCGGCCCAGCCTGGGGTGCTG